TATTTTACACCTACAGCCAGATAACCCAAACACTATCATCCTTGAAGTGTTGACAGAGGTGTATAGCAGGCTTTGGAAATACCAGACAACAGCTGAGTTAGAACTGAGCTATTGTGACAGCCTGAAATCAGATAATTACAGGTTGTATATTGATATTAAGTAATAATTAGATAATAATTTCATATTAGAATAACAGAAGGATTATAAATATATACCTAAGCTTGGTGAGGTGTTAAACAGCAAAGGTGGGGTAGGATCAAGAAAGCAGCAACTCTGGGAAGAAATTCAGGGTGAGCAAAGCAGAGCTGAACTGCAAGGAGTGCCTCTGTAACAGAGAGCTTTTAGCTTAAATTTGGGGGTATATACTGACAGAATGGGTACATTTAACCAGAACAGGGAGTGCAAGTCCTGGACATGGCACAGTGACACCCTGGCACTTTGGACCCAGGCTTGGCATCCACCTGGCATGTGGAAAAGATAGAAATAGTTGCAAAGAGCCATGAGCAATGGAAGAAATAAATAGTGTTGTGATGAGAAAATGTGGTTTGTTTCCTCAGGAGGATATTGGGGGCTCAGAGGGGCTTGCAGTGGGCAGCCTTTGTCAGAGGCTCTCTGTGCAATTGGACAGGGAAAGGCAGAGCTGCCTGCAAATGTCTGGGACATGAGGCCAAGAGATTTCCCACTACCAAGAGATCATTCTGGTATTCACAAAGGTGATTTTCCAGACCATGAAGTCTTCAGAACAAAAATGGACTCTTTTGGGCAAATTCAACAGCTGGTCTCAATATGAGATTGCTTTGGGAAAGGAAACTTATGGCAGGCCCTGCAAAGTGATCTGCTGATTGTTGGGGCTTTAATCTCAGTAAATAACCTTTTCCTCTGCCTTTTTGAAGCATGGGGAGAAGATTCCCATCTCCCCTCTCCAATAAAGATGTCAGGTCAAAGAACATATCTATGAGAGAAGCAGGAATACTGGGTGCACATGTTCCTTTAGATCTTCCTCCTCTACATCCATCCCTGTGCCCTCTTATTCACCTTTTTATGAAGTATCAGATTCAGGATAAAAAGGTCACGGACCAGGGGACATTGGGCTTTTTCTTTCAAGCAGAACATGCTCTATATTTTCATCCATGCTAGACTGAGGATCAATTTGTGGCAGAAAACAAAGTTCATTAATGGCAGCACTGCAAAGAGTGGGAACCAGCTTAGGAGGACATTCGGTGCCAGATCGCTGCAAGGCACTAATGAGGGAGGAAGAGGGAGAAGGGAAGACAGCAGGAGGTTTTCTTCCCAGTCACATTGCCTCATATCCCACTGCACCCTCTCCTCCTGCAGTGCTGCTCCAGTGTGTCCAACACCCTGTCCACCAGTGCCCCTCTGAGGGGTTTCCTCCTGGCTGCTCATCCCCAGGAGCTGGCCCAAACCAGGCTGCAAATGTGCTGAGCTTTTCTGGCAACGCTTCAGAATAAATGGCAAACCATTTCTGCAGCTCGTTTCCATTGTAGTATTAATCAAACTGAATTCCTGTGGTGCTCATATGGATGTCATATGTAAATCCCACTGCTCATTCCAAATTAAAGCCAATGGAGAAATTTCACTCCTGTCCCCATCCTGCAGCTCTGAGCTCTTGTGCATTTATTCCATTCATGAAATCCTGATTTCTGTGGACATGAGGGAATACCAGAGTTGATGACACCCATGAGAAGCGTTGGTAATACTTATGAATTAATAGAGAAGGTGCTCAGGTGAAAGGCTGAAGCAAACACACTTCCAATGTCCTACCTCAACCAAGTACTCCACATCTTAAAATAGAAGTCCTCACCAGCATTTCAAACTCTCCATCCCTCAATGTAGTTCAGAACAAGAGATTTTTCAGGCCAGTGCTAGCCCTCAGCAGTGGTCAGTGTCACCATTCAGAAGAAGACATGAGAAACCTCCAAACAGCAGCTCTGGAACAGTTTCAAAGAGTTTCCCCCACACACATACGCTATTAGAAATCCCACCCTGTTTGATGAAGTATATGCTTTTATTTATAATTTTTTTGTGGTGAGAGACAGGCAAATACAAGTTTATTTTGCTCTGAGAGTACTGATCCCTCTTTTCTCTCCTTGAGAAGAGGGTGAACAAATTGGGGGACCCCAGAAGGTAGCTGCTGATCAGGCAGAAGCTCCTTTGGCCTTGGGTGGAACTTTCAGCCTTGCACAGACTGAATCAAGTCCAACATCTGAACTAGGACAGCGTGAGCACCTACAGCGTGTCCCTGGCCCTCGGTGCAGCTCTGTCCCTGGGGAGCACTGCAGCCCTCAGCCCATCAGAGCAATGCCATTCACTTCCCCAGAGGAAAAGGGAGGAACACAGGAATGGGCTGAGGTGGTTCCAGCCCTTCCTGACAGGCTGGGGACTGGTGGGAAGGTCCCACCCTGGAGCCTTTGCCCACCCTGTGCCTCCCTGGCTGGCACCAGGCTTGGCAGTGGGCAGTGAGCAGATAAATCACAGCTTGGCCTTCTCTCTGTCACAGATAACAAACCACTCTCTGCAGGAAGCCACACATATCACAGAACTTTCCAGAAACAGACTCCACCAAGCCCTATCCACACCAGGGGTGTTTTTCTTCTGATCTTCTTTTGACCTAAAGCACTCAAGCCTCCATGGAATCTCCCAGAACAAGAAATCATTCAGGGGAGACTCCTACATTAGCCGTGCTTTGGAAATTGTTCAGGTGCTTTCTCACTGAGACTTGTCACACATGTCTGTGTCACTCCAAAGGTATGTAGGAAAATATATAGGAAAATATATTAGGAAAAAACTCTTCCTTGTGAGGGTGGTGAGGCCCTGACACAGGGTGCCCAGAGAGGGCAACCCCCTGGCAGTATCCAAGGCCAGGCTGGACAGGGTTTGGAGCAACCTGGGACAGTGGAAGGTGTCCCTGCAATGGCAGAGGTGGCACTGGGGCATTTTTTCCTCTTCCAACCCAAACCATTCTGAGATTCTGTGGTGTATCCACTGTCCAACTGAAATACCTGGGTCATGAGACCCACGTCTACCCCCAGAGGCTCACTGACCACTCACTTGAGGATCTGAACAGATGTGAACTGAACCTCCAGACCACAAGAATCACCGATTGCTTGGGTTGGAAAAGCCCTCTAAGATCAAATCCAACAGTTACCCTGGCACTGCCAAGGCCACCACTAACCCATGTCCCCAAGTGTCACATCTATGTGTTTTAAACCCCTCCAGCAACTCCACCACTGCCCTGGGCAGCCTGTGCCAGGGCTGGACAACCCTTTCCATGGAGAAATTTTTCTCAATATCCAATCTAAACCTCCCTTGGCACAGCTTGAGGCTCTTTCCTCAAGAGGAAACTGGGAGTTTGTTGTTGTTAACTGGGAGTTCCCAAGATAAGGGGTGGCAGAGCATGGTTTTGGGGTACCATGTGTAGGCTTTGGTGGCTCTACAGGACAGAGAAGGTCCCCAGTGAGGTCCATCTCTGGCCAGGGGACAGCACCAAGGATGCTTATGGGGTCAGCTCACACAGGTTCCTCCCCAGATGGAACATGGGGGTAATGAGGTACAACAGAGGCACAAGGGATCCTTTCAGCTTTAGGGCTCCTTTAGGGAGGCACAGGGGTCATAGTCTGGGGGAAATTTTGGGACACTGAGTCCCCAGACACATCTATACAGCTGTGGTGTGTCTGGCTGGGATGGCACTGCAGGGACAGGTCCTGCCCAGGCTGGGAGGAAAGGGAATATCTGGGGATTGCCTGTCCCCAGCATCTGCTGTGCTGCATGGATCCACCCCAGTCAGTCCTGGCTGCCCCCAGTGGGGAGCCAGGCAAGGATGGACCTCACTCTGCAGTACCAAGGGGGTCTCTGGTGGGGTCCAGCAGGTCACAGTGGGGCTCTGCTCTGCCCAGAGGGTCCTGGCTGGGCACTGGGGCACCCACTCCTGGGTCTGGAGATCATGGTAGGCATCTGCCCTGTGCCCATGTGTCCTGTGTGGGCAGGGAGGTCTGTCCCAAGGCTGGGGCTCACAGTGGGGTCTGTCCTGTCCCAAGGGTCCTGGGATGGCTCAGAGGGGTCTGTCCCCAGGCCGGGGCTCACAGTGGGGTCTGTCCCCATGCCCAAAGGGTCCAGGGATGGCACAGGGGGTCTGTCCCCAGGCTGGGGCTCATGGTGGGCTCTGTCCTGTCCCAAGTGTCCTGGGATGGCTCAGGGGGGTCTGTCCCCAGGCTGGGGCTCACAGTGGGGTCTGTGCTGTCCCAGGGGTCCTGGGGAGGGCTGGAGAGGGCTGTCCCCAGGCTGAAGATCATGGTGGAGGTCTGCCCTGTGCCTGGGGGTCCTTGAGGGCACAGCGGTTCCTCCCCAGGCACGGTGAGGACACCGCGGGTCTGCCGCAGAGTGCGGGTGGGGACCGGGGTCTGTCCCTGCCTGAGGACGGCCCCGAGCGGGCATGGCCGGGGCAGCCCGCGCGGCGCAGCGACGGTGGAGGGGTTTGTGAGGGCCGGGCCGGGCCGAGCGGAGCCGAGCCGAGCCAGGCCGGGCCGACTGGAGTCGAGCCGGGACGCGCCGAACCCAGCCGAGAGCGAGCGGAGCCGGGCCAAGCCGAGCCGGCTGGAGTCGAGCCGGGACGGGCCGAACCCAGCCGAGACCGAGCGGAGCCGAGCCGGGCCAGGTCGGGCCGAACCCAGCCGAGCCGGCCGAGCGGAGCCGGGTCGAGCCGAGCGGGTTGAGCCGGGCCGAGCCGAGCCGAGACCGAGCGGAGCCGAGCCTTGCCAGAGCCCGAGCTGTGCCGAACTAGAGAGGAGCTGTGCCGAGACAAGCCGAGCCGAGCCGAACGCAGCCGAACCCAACCGAGCCGAGCCGAGTGGAGCCGCACCGACCCAGCCGAGCCTCGGCCGATCAGCTGCCGAAGCGCCAGCGCTGGCCGGAGCCGTCCCGGCGGCGGGGACGGCGCGGGGCCGGGCCGGGCCGGGCCGGGCCGCCGGTCCCTCCTCCCCGATCCCCCGCCGCTCCCCCTTCGCTCCTTCCCGTTCCCTCCCGTTCCCTCCCCGCCTCCCTGCGCAGCGCGAACATGGCGGCGGCGGCGGCGGCGAGGGACTGAGCAGCGCCAGCGCTCGGCGGCCGCGCAGGTGAGCGGGCGGCCCAGGGCGGGCGGCTCGGCCGGGCTCGGTCCGGCCCGGCCGGGGAAGCGCGGCGGGGCTCGGGCGGGGGTCGGGCCCGCAGCCCGGCCCGGATCTCATCCCTCCTGTCAGCGCGGCCCGGCCGCCGCTTCCGCGCGGTGCCCGGGCCGAGGGAGGCTGTCACCGCCCGCACCTGCTGGTGCCCGTCCGGGACCGGCCCTCCCGGCGGCCGGGCAGCGCCCCGGGGCTCCCCGGCCCCGCGGCTGCCCGGCCGGGCTGTGCCTCCTGGGGAAGCCTCTTCCAGGGCTTTGTTGTTGTGCCGGTTGTCCCCGGGCAGGGCCTCGGGCAGCCGCGGTACCGCCTCGCCCCGAGGCCTCGGAGCGGTTCTGGGGCCGGCCGGAGCCGCCCCCTCCCCGGCGCGTTTCGGTACCGGCCGGGCGCTCCTGTCCGGATAGGGAAAGCGGGACCGAGCTGCAGGAGGTGGCCCTGTCTGCGAGCTGTGCCCGCGGGGGTTTGTGCCCTTCCTCCCCCACGAGCCCTTCGGGGCTCGGTGACACCGTGCTGTCACCCCAATGTGTGTGTGGAGCTGGTGCCCGGCGCTCCGAGCAGGTCCTGCTGCTGGAGGTGGCAGGGGTGACCCCGGGGAGCAGCCGGAGAAATCCCATCACCACCGTGCCTGGGGAGAAGCTGCGCCTCCTTCGCAGCCGCCCCGAGCCGAGCGCTGGGATAGAGCTGGGAGCGAGACAAGATTTGAGCGTTTCGTGCACAGTGAGATGTTTAAAAATAACCCCGGTGACGGCTGGCTCCTGTCGCGCAGGTTTAATCCGCAAGCTCTTTGAAGCTCCCGTGTAAAACTGTGGCAGCACTTTGGAGTGTGGATGACTGAAGGTAGAGCTGGTAAATCTGAGCAGGCAGCCTGAGTTTGGGATGCACTGAGCAGCTTGGCTCCCTTGGGCCTCGGGTGGTTTAGGTTCAGCAGCTGAGCATGAAACAATTTCCATGGGGAACGCGGGATGTGGAGACCCAGCTCTGGGGTCTCCGGCTTTGATTTTTTGGCTGAGTTTGTGTTTACTGTTGTTGTTTATAGTAAACAGCGTGCACTGAGTGGCTGGGAACAGCCATGTGGTCGCTGCAGTTCGCAGCCAGTAATATTGGGGGAAAATGTTCTCCCACCTCGGTTCGCTGCGGGCTGGGCCTCCTGTCGCCTTCCTCTCTTACTCTCAGCTTCTGCTGGCCAGGCTGTGCTGTCCATATGTGTTTGCTGGGAATATTGGGAGCATGGGATGGTGGTGTCATTCCTTATGCTTCATCTCAGGCACCGGCATGTGGTTTGGTGTTAATACAGGGAACAAAACTCGGCTCATGGGGGTCTCAGCTTGGGACAAGCTGCCGTGGTATGCAGCCCTGCATGTGCTGGTGGGTAGTTCAGGATCTGCCCAGTAGATGGTATGAAAATGCAGATGGAAATCAGGGAGTCCCTTCCAATGGGCACGAGGGAAATGCAGGTATTTCTGTGCTATTTAAAGTGTTCATTTAATTTAAAGTTTGAGTGTGTTCTGTTTGTGAGAGATATGCTGAGTCTTGGTCCTGGTTTGGTATTTACATCTTAGCAAGTGCCAATTCTGCATCTTGATTATCTGCTTTTCTTGGGGCACTTCTGTGGAAATCTGATGAATTTTGCAGGACAATATATTGTCTATAAGTAAAAGATCCTGTTAAGGTATTAAATGATGATCTTATTCATCAAGTAGCTGTGCTTCAGTCTAGACAGGAGTGCTCTGTCCCTGCCCTACGTCTGATTTAAAGGAATGTCTGAAACTTTGTTTGGTAGACTCAGACATCAGGTACCTCCAGAGATGTCCTGGTTGTTTCCCAATCTTGGGTAAGGTCAGGTAGGCTTCTAAACCCTTCCTGAGTAATAGTTCTTTTAAGCTCTTCATGCTGGCAGTTCCATGTCCTGTGCAGGTGGTGTATGCCAACACTTAGGCCTCCCCATCATTACAGATATTTTTTGGGGTGTTTAATCTAAATCTTTGTCTTGCACTTTAAACCTGTTCTTTTTCTGATGTCCAGAGCTCATGGAGAGCACCCTACTCCACACATCACTCCACTTCCTACATGTCTGCAGCTCAGTGAGAAGCATTTGAAGACTTCTTTTCCCTCTCCCTGAGCTGAGCAAGATCAGTTTCTCCCTTCTTCTCACATGGGCATGTCAGCCTAGCCGACCTCTGTCTCTGACTTGGGTTCTGCTCCCATTCACACTTCACCTAAAGTGCTGTGGTCAGTCAGAACAGGACTCTGCCCAGCAGCTGTAAGAAGCTGGGCCCAAAGGACCCCGTTTTGGGTACATCTCAGCACTGTTACGTGACAAGGAATGCAGATCATATGTTTGCCTGTTTGTGCTGTTAACTGTGTGTTTGTGGCAGGACTTGGCGTGCTTGGTGAGCTCCTGTTTGCAAATCTGGAGTAGCATGCTAGCAACATGAGCTCAGAGCTGCGCTGAGTTAAACCTTGCTGTGTCTGGGGCTCTTGTTTGAGCTGTAATGTTTGCATCTTCCACCCTGTCTTTTCTCCTTTTCCTTGCCTTCTACTGCAATTCAGTTTTTGCAATGAGACAAAAACATTTTGAGAATTTTATGCATCCATTTATGTTTGAGAAGTTTCCTGACAAGGAGAGGTCCCTGACAAGTGAGGGAAGATGCATTGAGGACAGAGCAGCAACTTTGGCTGCCAGCTTCTCTTGTGAGGTGGTTAATCTCCTGCATATATATAATTCAGAGACATGCCAAGGTAAAAATTATCTCCACAATTGAACTCTCAGTGTAGCAGAGCTGTGGCTCTGACTCCTCCTTCACCCCAGCACTACATCCAGATGTAGCACCTGCACTCCAAGCTGGGACATAAATGTTTCATCCCACTTCATTTACAAGATAGCACAGCCTAATCCTAAAGGAAATGCTTTTTCTGGCTTTAATACAGTTGTAAAAAATCCCTTTCTTACCCAGCTTAAATATCTACCAGTGGAAGCTGTTATAAAACATTTGCACTATGTTTAACCTGATAGTGCAAGTCTGAGAGCAGCAGGAAGCACAAGAGATCTTCCCTGTGTATCACCAGCTCTCACTGGGCTTGGAGTGAACAAATCCAGTGGCCTGAACTAGTGGTGTCAGAGTGGTGGGGACACCTGAGCACCGGAGATCAGCACCTCCTCCTCTTTGTAAAGCTGTGCTCTGTCCTGGGTGGCATTCTCCCTTAGCAGGACATTTCAGGGGTGGTTTCAATTGTGAGCAGAAGGAGAGATCAGTACAGGGACATCACTGCGGCCTGGCTGCTGCTGAAAACACTTCATTCCCAGAGATCTCTATTTTCATTCAATTCCCTTAAAAAAACAGAGTAATACTTAGCTCTTTTACTGAGGTTTCTTAAACACACCACCTCTAGCAGATTTAGACACTGTGATACACAGTTTGCAGTCTTCACTACCAAATGTTTCTGCCTCTCTAGCAGGGATTTAAGCAGAGTTTGTGTGTGCCTCTGCTCTCACTGGGCTGAATCTCACACTTTTATGCAGACTCATCCTGAGCAAAAAATCAAGAATTTGGCTGAGAACTGAAGGAAAAGATGAATGTCTGTTTTGCTGCCTCTGCTGTTTGCGTGGCAGCCTCGTCCAACAGGCCAGATGGACAGGTGATGTCTGGGGAATGAATCTAAAGCACTTGGCTTCCTCAGAGCTGCCTTGATCAGCAGAGGGAAGTGGCCCCTGCAGCTCCACAGCCTGGTTGGTAATATGTCACTGGAGATGAGGAAACAGAGCACAGTCAGTGTGGTCATTGCCAGCACAAGGGAGCTGACGTGGGAATTCAGGCAGGACTGTTTTTCCCTGGCACAAGCTTGTGCTTCTGCCGCTCTCCATTTCTTGCTCAGAAGTTTTTTTCTGTTTGTATTAGAAATTGAATGGTGTTATCACCAGGAGGAAAAGAAACTCCTGCTGGAGGTGCCTCCTCCCAGCCAGTGTGCTCGGGGTTACCCAGCTCCAATTAGCTTGTACATTTTCCAGGCTGCCACAGTGGGAACAGCCCAGAAACCTCCCTGTGGCTGGGTTTTGTTTTCAGCAACAGAAACTGTAGGAGTAGATGGTAGTGGAAATTTGTGAAGTTCAATCTTTGCCCATTGAGTTTCCTGCAATTCTTCCTCTCTCCTGGCCCTTCCAGGTTTCACTGGACAGCGGTCCAGGTCCTTTCTCCTAGATATTGTGGCAGGGGAACAAGTTTGGTTCACCCATTTCTGGAGTGACATCTGCTGCGGTTTGCTTGGGGGTGGAGAGAAGTAGGTGCACCCTTCTGATTCCTCAGGGTGCTGCTGATGTTTGACCACAGGAAGAGATCCTGCCAGGAAACATGGGGTTTGTGCCTGGGGGGAGATGGGGGACACTTAAAATGTTTGGGTTCAGTGTTGGCAGAGGCTGCACAGGCTGAAGCCCATCTGTGCTCCACTGAGTGAGCCACGGTCCCATCGGCTGCTGCTTGCAGTCACCTCATGCTGGAACACCTGCTGCCAGTGCCTGACGAGCTTCCATCTGCTCTGGCCTCCCCTGTGCCACTGCTGCAGGGTGTCCCTGCTCCTGGCCTCCCTCCCTTTCCCGTTTGGAGCAGCCCCTGCCTCCTCCTCCCCCCGTGCTGAGCCCTCGGCAGTGGGATGGATGCGTGTCCAGCTGTGTCTGCGGTGAGCAGCAGGGCAGCCTGTGTTCCCTGCTCCCCCTCGCTCCCTCCTGCCTGGGGGAGCCTCCCTGGGCTGCTGCCAGGGCCTGCTGCCCTCCCTGTGTCCCTGCAGCTGTGGGGAAGCCAAGCCAGGCCAGGCCAGGGGCCAGGCTGGGCTGCACACACCGTGGGGGACACGGATGAGCAGCAACTTTAGGATGGCTCATTGTCATTGACAACCTTACATGTGTATATCCATCTTAAATATTCAGAGATTTTTCAAAAGCAACCCACATATAATCACATATAATC